ATATTTGAATTCTAAGTAGGATGCCTGGAGATGGTCCAAAACAATATCCTGTTACTGGAGCTGTTATTTGTTGGTATTTTCAGTGTCGTGCTGGAGCCAGAGTTGTCGGGGCATGTGCCCATGTGGCCTCAGTATTGTGGATTCTTGGCTATGAAAGACACACAAACTTTGCAGTAAGACCTACTCAAGACTGGGCTGACTACCTTTAGGATGCAGCTGTGCTTCCTGCAGTAATGGATGGCTCATCAGAAAGTAAAATGAGTGCAACGGAAGAATGACATGAATTGCGACATTGGTTTATTGAAAGTGAACATTATTGAGAGTGAACATTCTGCAGATTATATGCGTCTCAATATGAGTGAAAATTCTCGAGAGGGATGTTAAACAATATACAATCAATCAATCTGCAGGTTATGATAGCCACTGCATTAGACTCCCATTATTGTTTTCAACAATATAGTGGAAGGCTGTGTATATATTGTTATTTATTAATTGTAAATAGGGATTTTTATGTATCTATGATTTTTTTTTTAATGTTTAAATTGTGATTTCTTAACATCTATTATATAATTGAGAAATTAAAATATAGTACATTGTACAACCCAAAAACATATTAGATTCATTGCATGAGTTTAATAAGTTCGGTTGTAAATATTGAAAGATTAATTATGTACCTTGACAAATGAAATGATTTGTTATTATCATATGATTATACTTCATGAATAATTGTTATCAAAATTAATATACTGATGTAAAATGCATCACAAAATGTTTCTCAGATAATAGTAACAATTATAGTTGATTATGCAGTGTGTTTATTTGCATATTGAACTTTGTTAATAATTAAACATGACAATATACAAGTACTTGTTATTTTTTGTAATACAATGTAATTACAAAACCTTTCCAGACAAACATGTACTAGTATAACTAATTCTTTGATGCTTAGTTCATTTTTATGACATTGTGAGGATGATAAACATTATCTTATTATGAGTAAATGTAGTGTATAAGGCATGAGTGGTGTGATGTTAAACTTCTTTGATCTTTTTGGTAAAAGTATAGGTGGGTGATGGGAGTTCTGGAATTTATTTATGCAAACTGAAATCCCTTATTGTTAATTTAATCAAGTTTAATCAATTGTTATTAAAAATCTTAGTTGAATACATTTAATTTTCTTGTTTGTTCACTTTGTGCATTCAATGTATTTTTATGTTAAATACATAAAATAGTACTTGTCTTTGAAAAATTAACATTTTTCTGTGAATTTAAAATAATATAAAGGTTATTTTTCCTCATTTATAGTTTCGTATAGAATTAATAGGATTTTATTTGAAATATTTTTACCGTAAAGTACATATTGCGAGTGGAGTCCATTTAAAGACATCTTAAGTTCCCAGATATCTCTGATTTTGAACATAAAAACAACTGTTTTACATTAAAATCCGGTTTTTTTTACCACTTTTAGTTTCTATCCACATGTTTGAGATCATTTCTGTTGTATTTGTATTAAATATCCATCTTTTATTTCTTTAATTATATATACAGAGAAAAAAAATTATTAAAAATTTCCAGATATCAGTGAAAATTGTGTTATTTTTGTATTGACCCCAAAATGTCTTGAAAGTGGTTTATTCGTCAAAATATGTCTGAAAAGGTGTGATTCAATCATAATTCTTTTAATATTTATAATATTTTGTCCATTATGGTTGGGGCATATATAGGGTCTTAATGCCCCTGATTCTTTTTGCGGTAAAGAATTCATTTTATTTCATTCTTTAATGAAGAGGGTGTTTATGCATATTTCCACCAAGAGATTTGTTTGAAATTCAAATTACTTTTTACAATATCTTATAAAAACACGCACTACCCATAGACTTCAATGTAAATGTCAATGTGAAATTATTCGGACAATAATCAAAATTTTGTAAAGTGCTTTGGTGGAGCATTTTTATTTGATAACCTTTTCAAAATGCTACTGTGATGAAAAATATCGGACCATTCATTTATTAGGTACAAAATATGGTCGTTATACATTGAAATCCTTAAAGCCGCTTCATCCGAAACAGGCACATATTATCTTAAACAATAAAAGTATGGCATTACATAGATAATATATAAAAATTAATTATAAGATTGATTTAATAGTTTATTACAACAATCCTTACATGGAAAACATAGACCAAAAACCTTGTTGACAAACAGCAGTTCCTGACGGGAAGTTAAGATCTGTTCTGAAGTCACCTTTGAAAAAAAAATACTTTTATCGGTTAAATCTAATTATGAAGAGAATTCAAACCCGAGAATTTTTTTCCATCAGTAGAATCCTAAGTCATGATATATCTTTTAAAAATTAAGAAATTAAGTGAATATAATCCATAGTAATTTTTAGCTCTACTGGTCAGAGACCAGAAGAGCTTATGCGATAGTGATGCGTCCGGCGTCCGTCCGTCTGTCTAGCTGTCTGTCTGTCTGTCTGTCTGTAAAAATTTTTCAAAAACGCTACTCCTCCTACAGTTTTGGACTGATTTCTGTATAACTTAGCAAACAAGTAGACTACACTAAGATACATAATTCTGTATATCGGTTTTTGATTTTGATGAACGATGTTGCCGTTGTTACTAAAAATAGAAATTTCTGTGAAATGCATTTAAAATGCTACTCCTCCTACAGTTTTGGTCCGATTTCAACACAATTTGGCACACATGTAGACTACACTAAGATACATAAGTCTGTATATTGGTTTTTGATTTCGATGAACGATGTTGTTGTTACTAAAAATAGAAATTGCTGTGAACTACTTTTAAAATGCTACTCCTCCTGCAGTTTTGGTTTGATTTCAACACAACTTGGCACAAAAGTCATTTTTTGATTTCGATGAAAGGTCTTGCCATGGTTACTAGAAAAACTTTAAGATGAAACTTTTCTCTTCCCCTGTTATAAGTACAAACCAGTAAAGCTACAGTCTCGGCAGAGACCTCTGGTTCTATTAATATGCATATTTACAGAATAAAGGAAAATCAGATATTTTTAAAGATTTTTTTAAAAAGGGAGTTTAGTAACGAGGGCTAGAATATTGCCCGTGTACACTTTGTTGCGGAAAAAATGCTCGGGTTTTTTCTTCATGAGTTATACATGTAAGCGATAAAATTAATTTTTCGTTGGTGATTTCACACCATGTAAATAAAGGATTATTTTTTGTGTGACCTAATAAAAATTATTTTTTTAACTTTTGAATTTTGATATCTTAATAAAATGAAAAAGACTTTAGGGATATAATTTGACAAAAGTTGAAATAATTTATTGACAATTATTTTTCAAGAAGAAAAACGAATATCTTTTTTTAGCGATAGAATCGGACCAAGCGGCTTTAAAGGGAGTACTTTGAGGTAATGAAATAAACAAATAAAATGATTTTATTATGCCTCCGTAAACGAAGTTTCGGGGGTATATAGTTTTTGTCCTGTCCGTCCGTCTGTCTGTCTGTCTGTCTCTCTGTCTGTCTGTTTGTCCGCAAAAACTTTAACCTTGCCTATAACTTTTGATTTAGTGGAGATATGACATTCATATTTCACATGTGTATTCCTTGTGACAAAACCTTTTTCGGGTACCACCAAATTTGACTTTTTGACCTTGACCTTGGAGTTTGACCCACTTTAACACAAAAATTTTGAACTTTTACTTTGGCCATATCTTTTAAACAATATATACCAGGACATTTATATTTGACTTATATATTCTTTGTGGAAAGACCTTTCATTGGATACCAACAACATTTAACCTTTTGACCTTGACCTTGGAGATTTCTGTACCTATGAAAAAAATTTAACCTTAGCTATAACTTTTGAACAATAAGTACTAGGGCTTTCATATTTCACATATAATATTGATGAAAAGACCTTTCATTGGATACCAAGAACTTTGACCATTTGACCTTGATCTTGGAGTTTGACCTACTTTAATAATACAACTTTGACCATAATTTTTGAAGGGTTCGGCCTAGGGCATTCATACTTCACAAATTTAATCCTTGTGACAAGACCTTTCATTTGATATCCAGAACCTTGACCCTTTGACCTTTGACCTTGACCCTTTGACCTACTTTTTACAAAATTAACCTTGACCATAACTTTTGAACAGTAGGGGCTAGAGCTTTCATATTTCATATGTGTAATCTTTGTGAAAAGACCTTTCATTGGATATCAAGAATCTTGACCCTTTGACCTTTACCTTAAAGTTTGACCTACTTTTTTACAAACTTTATCCTACGTAATCTATGAGACAAGGCCTTTCTTTAGAACCCAACAACCTTGACCCGGAGTTTGTCCTACATTATAAAATGTAAACCTTGGTCATAACCCTGAAACAGGTGTAGCTAGCGCTTCATATTTCGCATTTCATGTGAAAAGGCCATACTTTGGTACGAACATATTTGATCTGCATTTGAGAAAGCTTAACCTTCGCTATGTTGCCATTCGGGGGCATCAGTGTTTCACAAACACATCTCGTTTCTTTATCTTTTCATTCCACTAAAGACAAAACTTTTTGAAAGAGTTTCGAATTTATTTGTATAACTTCTGTCCTTGTTCTCATTTTGTATTGACACACTTTGAATATATAATTTCAGCCAAATAATTTTTAGCACTTGATTCATCCTTCCTCGTGACTCAATCGTCTGCTTTTCAGCAAAAGCGATAAAGTTTTCATATTTTAAAATGATCGATGGATTAGCCATTTCAGTGCTTTTAGTTTCCGAATGCTTCTTTTAACCCATTTTTTTATTATTATAATTAGTTACTTATACTGATAATAACTTTAACCATTTATTCCGCAATTGTGCTCTATCAGGCCCTTCATCGGAAAATTCAGGTAACACATTCCTTTTTTACTGCTTATCAATCGAATGGGATTTATATTCTCTGTGAATAAATATTTTGAATGTCAAAAATAATAGCTATTTAAAGAATTAATTAATTACTTCCTGCTATATAGACCACTCTGCCATGGCTGAACTTGAAAACTATATTGTTATTTTTGGAATCTGTGCGGCCATTCTCCAGGGAAGCAGTGAAAATATCTGTGGACCACGAAAGTAAGAGTATTTGTTTTTGATGAAAGCGACTTTAATTATTAAGGAAGGATGATATGAACAATTATCCCGCTTTAGGCAAATTTGTCGATTACTGATTGGATACAAGCTAATCACATGACGCCCTGAAAATTTACGTCTCCGTCGTGGCGTAATATATTATGAAAATCGGGCATGTGATTCCGTTCGAAGCGTTGTTATTGTTAATAAAAATGGCGGCTAAGAAACGGTTTACGTACAGTGTAGGTAGTTTAATTTAATTTCTTGTTACCGTAACGATATTTTATGTTGATTGTTATTGGATGAAAACTTAATATTTTCATAATATGCACAATTTTTTTTTTAATTGAAAGGGGTCTTCAGCGGGATAAATTCGTAACACAGTCATTTAGTGACCTTCCCCTCGCCCAATATGGATTTCCATTTCACACCCTGTATGAATCCGTATTAGGTCACTAACTGACTGTGTAACTAATAATACTAGATGTCTAATATGGATTTTAATATCTTTTATAAGAAATAAGATTTTTAATTAATTTTTGTATGAAATGCTATTAAAATATATAAGTCGTAATATTATAGAGGAAATAATAACTTCAAATCTGTGTCTAAGTACCTTTAACATCGGGATTGACCTTTTTTATTTAAAAATGGCGGCTTCATTCATTTGATTCATTCATTCCTTGATTGATTGTATGTTGCTTAAAGTCCCTCTCGAAAATTTTTCACTCACATGGAGAAGCCACCATTTTCCGTGGAGGACTACAAATTCTGTCCTATACTCGGCACTTAGGGCCATGGAGCAGAAAGGGATCTTTTTCGTGCCAGCACCTACTGCGATACGGGACCTCGGTTTATAAGCTGGAGTAGGCTGTATTTCACTTTTACTTAATACATACATGAATAACGATATTTTAGTTTTGAAAATGTAGTTGGGAAATAAGATAAATACTGAAACTACCATTGACTTCCATGACAGTAAGGCCATTGTTTTGGGATATATATCTAATTTCGTTTGAAAATCCTTTTAAACAACAACAGCAAATCAGTATCCTATCCTATTAATTGTCTTTTAGACCAGACGGAAAGCTTAAATGCTGCACGTTCTACCATTATAACGGAAGTGATTGTATAGGTAAGAAAAATCTTTCAATCGATTTCGTCTTCAGATGAAAAGTCAAAGGCATTTTTAAAATTAAAGTAAGATTGGACTTCATAACTTATTCAAACTTTCGAAGGAGTCTAATTCTTTTTAAAAAATAAAGATGCAATACTGTTACTGTGTCCAGAAACCTAAAATTGCGTCATATATTTTTTAAAGAATGAATTTTTGCAAAATGTTCAAAAGTATATGTTATCTGCTTTAAAATTCAATGTTATACCAATACAGGGGACAAGAAGACCCTGGACACAGTAACGGTATTTTCGGATATAAACTGACATGTCGAAATTATCTATATTACTTTGAAATATAACTTGGAAAAAATCCATCATAAACCTTTGGATACGGTTTTTAAAAATGCCCAACCGTTGACAATGTTCCTTTTTTTTTTCATTAAAGTCGCCTGAGTTTACTCAGGTGACCTATTGCTATCCTTTTTCGTCTGTCGTCGTGTGTTAACATTTGAACATTTTCAGTTTCTTCTATGCAACCGCTCAATCAATTTCAACCAATTTTGGCATGGGTACAGTGAACTAAATATTAAAAATTTCATGGTCTCTACCCCCCTCCCGAGGGGCCTGTATGGTGGGACCAAACCACTAAAATGAATGCAATCTATTTTTTTAAAAAACTTCTTTTATTACTCCTGGACATCAAGCAGCCAAAATTTGGCATGATTTAGTTATCATTTAGTCCTCTTGTGTTATTGTGTTATTATCATTGATTCTACCAAAATTGTGAAATTCATGGCACTGGGGCGAGGGGCTCTGATGCTAGGGCGGGGCTATGTATCATATATAGTGAAAATGCATTATTATTTTTTTTTTTATCTTCTTCTCTGCAGCTGGGTTTTAAGTAAACTAACTAAGTACATAGTTATGTTAAACAAACCCGACTCTTCCAAAATTGTGAATTTCATAGCCCCTAGGTCAGGGGTTCTGGTCTTAGGGCTGGGCTCTATTGATTATATAGTGAAAATGCGTTAAATTTTTGAAAATCTTTCCTCTTCTTCTGGGTATTAAATTAGCTAACTAATAACATATTTATGATGAGCAGGAATGCCTCTTTCCAAATTATGAATTTTATGGCCCCAGGTTCAGAGTTTCTGACGTTAGGGCGGGGTTCTAATGATTCTATTGTAAAAATACATTAATTCTTTGAAAATCATCTTCACTTCTCCATGGGTATTAAATAAACTACATTGTACAGTGTATGTAACTATATGGGTATGATGAGCAAGAATGTATCTTCCAGAATTGAGAATGTTATGGCCCCAAGGTCGAAGGTTCTGGTGTTAGGGCGGGGCTCTGTCGATTAAATAGTGAAGATGCATTTTCTGCTCCCTTACATTGAATAAACTAAGTACTTAGTTATGATGAGCAAGAGTGCCTCTTCCAAAATTTGAATTTTATGGCCCAAGGATCGGAGATTCTGGTGTTGGGGCGGAACTCTGTTGATTATTTAGTGAAAATGCATTAAATCTGAGGAAATCTACTCTGCTCGTTGGTATTAAATAAACCAACTAAGTAAATAATTATGATGAGCATGAATGCCTCTTCCAAAATTGTGAATTTTAAAGGCTCCAGGGTTGGGGTTTCTGGTGTTAGGATGTGGCTCTATTGACAAACTCCATACAGTGTCGATTCTCCGGAACTACTTTCGTGCCCTACGAATAACGATTGCCGATTGATCGGAAAGCGTCCGATGCACAGCTAGTTTGTGTCCGATGTACGGTGAAATGAGCATACTAGAAAAAACAGCTCTAACTAGAATTAAACAAATATTACAGTGAAATTTCTTTATAATTTAAAAATTACCAATCATTGACAAAATTCACCAAAGTCCAACTTGGTTCAATAGTTAACCATGCATCGGACACCGGCATACCTTGCTTCGGGCAACTAATTACTTGAAGCGGCAATCTTATGATTTCCGCGACTATAAATACTCTTCCCGTCTAAACTTTTTTACTTCTCTTCTCTCTCTTTTTGTTGTTATATTGAATATATATATATGCTTAATTAATTATCAATAAGCTGAATGTACAGTTATTTTTGCTTGAATATCAGTGTTTCTTATTAGTCTTAATATTTATAACAAAGTGACTATTACAATTTAGTAATGATATTTTACTCACAACTCATATCATTGTATAGATTTTCCCAACACAAAACATGTACATGTAAAATGTACCAATTTTATTGTCTGCTACGACCCCCTTCCCGGCCTTAAAAAAAAAGAGTGATCTGTCCTTTGAGAGGGGGGGGGTACATCCTCATTCATTCTTTTGGTTTTCAAGCGCAAAACTGATACATGGTTTACAAAATACCAAACAGGATAACGTGGTGGAAGAGGATGGGGTATGCAACGTTCAAGAATACCTTCTTAAATACAGTGTAGATAAGATATATAAGAAAGAAAGGGTTTTTTCAGATTTGTTTTGATTTTTTTTAATGTTTTTTTTAATCTGCTCCATGGAAGTTGTTGTCTCACACTGTACAAGATGAAATAAGCCCTGTCAACTTTTCTTCAAATCGACATTGTTTAGTGAAATCTTCTATAGTACATGTACGTTTCGCCCCTTGTTTAAGGTAGGATTCTTCTCTGGTTTCTGACTGGATGAAACATTTAAAGTATATTTGCTTATATGTCTTATACATTGCGGTGTAAGGAATTTAAAAGACCATATTTTTCTTTCCTCATCAAATAGAAATGGTAAACTGTGTTTGAAAACTAGCAGGGACTATATTTTTGGCGGAATGGTGGCGTATGAAAATATTTTCTTTTCTGTCTCTCAAAATTATAATAGAACAATGAATTTTGGTGTAATTTTTACACAATCAAAGACTTGGAGACATTTTCAAATGTAAGTTAAATTAATAATGAGGGACTAAACTTTCAAAATATATCAAATAAATATGATTTTTCAAACAAACTAGAACTTTGTTAGCGTTTAAACGCTTCCTATCAAATTGCAGATTTGAGCCAAAAATCCATAAAAAGTATTTTTTCTCTCTTGGTAAACGATCAAAACTTTTTGTTTTGATATCATTTTGTACATTTATAAGACTACTTTATTATGTGTGAAAATAAGAAAAAGTTAAATATAGGAAGCATATGAAAATAACTAATATATCCTAAAAAATTAAGAAAAACAGAGAAAATTCGGATTAGCCAATATCCAGTTTAGTTAGATTATTTATGTAAATTTGGTAATATCATGCTGTAGACCTGATATAGTAATATGTTTTTATGCAAAAAGAACAATCATTAAACTTTTGAAATAGAAGTTGGTATCACATGATTAGCAACAGTTATTTTTTATTCTTAATGTCAAGGAAATAGATAATGACCTTGACCTGACCTTGCTTCTAATATAAAACGGTCAAATTTAATTTCACTGATACTATCACTTAATGATGTTGTCTTCTTGATTCTGTGAAAATTTCATTAATTTTTAAATATTAGAAATATGAGAAGAATCCTACCTTAATACGGAGTTGAATTAAAGTACATATTTTAGGTCAACTATGTACCAAGCAATACATCTACACAGCGTCAATTTTTTTGTGAAATTACAGCTCTCGTATACAACGTTGTAAAGAAGAACGATAACGTGAAATCTTGACATTGGGAACATGTAAAGGTTACATGTAACAAGTCTAAAACCAGTGACGTAGCATCGTTTTTAGGGGGCACAGCCAGAGATAATTTTTTACTTACCTGTAAAAGTTCACAAGCAAAAAAAAAAACAAAACCCATTGCCCAATTTCGAAAAACCTATTTCGGGGGGGGGGGGGGGGGGGGGGGGGTTATTAGCCAACATTTTTTAATGTTAACTTCTTCCGGTACCAATTTTTTTGCATACAATAATACTACATTTCCCTTATATCACTTTACCGTAGTAAAATGTGAGGGTGCCCACCAACCTTTCGATGAACATTTCCAATAGTGAAAATAAAGTTGGGAAAAAAGTGAGGCTACGTGCCTGAAAAAATCATTAACAAGATGTGTTTGTGAAACACTAGGCGCCCCGCCAACAGAATTCGATAAAGCTACTTTTAGCACATAGGTAAGAGTCAAGGTCACAAGGTCATTTACCTTGGTGTCATTTGAAGGGATCTTATAAAAATTGTTTCAATAAGTATTGGTATAACCAAGCGATACATTTAGTTATTTTTATAATGGCATGGGAAACGCAAATGTGAGCATTTTGTCATCTAATAATCAATTTCATTTACTTATATGTCGTAAAATTCACGATTTCTCAGTTCTATTAGTTTTTGTAAAGTAATTGGCAGAGAGTAAAAAAATCTTACTGTAAGAAAAAAATAACGCTGGAAATGGGGTGGTTGTGTTTATTGTTAAATTATCACATGCATGTAGACTTGGCCGCCTAAAAGAGAGAGAAAAAATTAGTCCAGCTGATTACGTTTTTAGCTCACCTGAGCCGAAGGCTCAAGTGAGCTTTTCTGATCACATTTTGTCCGGCGTCCGTCTAGCTGTCCGTCTGTCTGTCTGTCTGTGCGTCTGTCTGTAAACTTTTCACATTATCGACTTTTTCTCAAGAACCACTGGGCCAATTTCAATCAAACTTGGCACAAAGTATCCTTGGGTGAAGGTGATTCAAGTTTGTTCAAATGAAGGGCCACGCCCTTTTCCAAGGGGAGATAATTATGAATTAGAGAAAAATTAATGGCATTTTTAAAAAATCTTCTTCTCAAGAACCACTGGGCCAGGAAAGACCAAACTCATGTGGAATCATTGTTAGGTAGTGTAAATTTAAGTTTGTTCAAATCATGACCCCCGGGGCTAGGGTGGGGCCAAAATGGCCGACCAAAGTTTTACATAGGAATATATGGGAAAAATCTTTAAAAATCTTCTTCTCAAGAACCACTGGGCCAGGAAAGATGAAACTCATGTGGAATCATCCTCAGGTAGTGTAGATTCAAGTTTGTTCAAATCATGACCCCCAGGGCTAGGGTGGGGCCAAAATGGCCGACCCAAGTTTTACATAGGAATATATAGGAAAAATCTTCTTCTTAAAAACCACTGGGCCAGGAAAGATAAAACTCATGTGGAATCATTCTCAGGTAGTGTAGATTCAAGTTTGTTCAAATCATGACCCCCGGGGCTAGGGCGGGGCCAAAATGGCCGACCCAAGTTTTACATAGGAATATATAGGAAAAATCTTTAAAAATCTTCTTCTTAAAAACCACTGGGCCAGGAAAGACGAAACTCATAAGGAATCATCCTCAGGTAGTGTAGATTCAAGTTTTTTTCAAATCATGACCCCGGGGGCTAGGGCGGGGCCAAAATGGCCGACCCAAGTTTTACATAGGAATATATAGGAAAAATCTTTAAAAATCTTCTTCTTAAAAACCACTGGGCCAGGAAAGATGAAACTCATGTGGAATCATCCTCAGGTAGTGTAGATTCAAATTTGTTCAAATCATGACCCCCCGGGCTAGGGTGGGGCCAAAATGGCCGACCCAAGTTTTACATAGGGATATATAGGGAAACCTTTTAAAATCTTCTTTTCAAGTACTTCAAAGCTATGATTAGTGATATTTATATGGAATCATCCTCAGGTAGTGTAGATTCTAGTTTGTTCAAATGGTTAATGCCTGGAGGGGGGGTTAAATTCAAGCCCGATGTGCTCAGGTGAGCGCTGTGGCCCCTGGGCCTCTTGTTTAGCTGTAGAAATTGAAATTCAACGACGCTTGGAGCAAAATCTTTCTTATTAAGCGTAGTTCCATCTTCAATATTGTGTTTTGAAGTAAGCTGTTGATGAAATTTTAAAGTCATAGATGCAAAATTAGATTCCATCACTATTTAATAGCACGATAATATCTCGTCAAGAAAAGTGCATTGAGGCAGGGGGGGGGGGGGGGGGGGGGGGAAACAAAGACGTCATTAATTAAAGGGCGACACGCAAAGTGAGGTCATCACACTAACGATGAAATAGAAAAATGTTTAAAGTATCAAGGTGATTCTTTTAAACACTAACTGTACTTTTTTGTTTTATATTCTTTAAAATATTTTTAGCGTATGACTCCCATGGTACAGTGTATCAATACACGAACATATGAAAACCCTCATCGAAAAAATAGGATTAAAAAATCGATTTCAAACATACTAGTTGATTCAAAGATTTGCTATTAATTATGGAAAATAAAGTAGTGATTATGGTATGCTATCACATGTAGAACAATATAAAATTGCATTTTACGTTTGTGAAAGAAATCTAATTAACCTACACAATGAAAAATGCATGTTAGCTGATATATTTTGAAATATTATATCTCATTCTTGTTCATGACGTCGCATAAAGCAACACCAAAATATTGCAACGTTAACGTAAACAATGCTACCTTTACAGCTATATAAAATATTAATAAAGCTCTGTACAGGTATATATTGATAAGTTCATAAAAATACACACTCTTTAGAAGAACTTAGAGAAATTTTATTAATTTTGACACAGGGTCGAATTTTGCAACAAGTGAACCAGGTCCTTTGTTTGTGTGAAAAGTTTGAACCAAAAAAATGGTATTATGTTTGTAGTCATTTTTTTTAGCTACTCTCTCTCTCTCTCTCTCTCTCTCTCTCTCTCTCTCTTTATGGGGGGGGGGGGTTGTATTGTAAAAAAAAAAAAAAATCTGGCTGCCCGCTTATATTTTATAGCGATATTACGTTCATGTTTATCGATGCTGAAAATGCAAATTGAATTTTGATTTTTAATATATGTTTACTTCCTCAATTATTTCGTTGACATTTCCCCCCAATTCTAAAAATCGGGCGTATGAAAAACAATCGTCTTTTTTCATGTTATTAGATTTAAAAAAAAAAAGTGGAGAAAAGCTAGAAAAGAAAGATAGAACGGTAAAAAAAAATATTCTTAAGCAGTTTAATCATCATGTATTATAATTCTTTACCAATTTCTATGTTCTATAATATAATCGGCTTCAATGTGTAATTTTGAATTTTATTTACCGATTCAATAAATCAGTAAATAAACAGGCGGCATAAAGCTTGTTAATGATGGACCTTATGTTTTTTTGTTTTTTGTTTTTTTTTGCCTGAACTAAAATACTAAATGCATTTGATTGAATTTTGTACTTAGGCTAGCACATAGATAACTCAAGTATTTTTTTTTTTAGACATATTAATTATCTCGCGTGCACATGGTGTATAAACCATGATAATTATTAAACATGATTAATTAAATATTTAAATAAAAAAAAAGATTGATATTAAAGCAGGGGATCGCTAATGCTTGTATGTATTTTCATGTATCAACAGAATTTTACTCGAATAATCAAATACAATTTTTAGATCTAGATAATCTACAAAAAAAAATGATCTAGCATTCTCTAAATTTTACCGCGCCTTATTTAACTGTGACGTCACGCAGTCAACCTCGGTTGAACGAGGTCATATCAAAAGGCCTATGGCAGCGATGATATGGAGTTGTAGCGTAACGTAATACTGAGCTGTCTGGAGCTTGCTCTATTGAATATATATAATGAAAATGCATTGACTCTTTGAAAATTGTCTTCTCTGCCTCTGAGTATTAACATGTAAGCAAATTAATTACCAATATAGCTATAATGAGCAAGGACCCTTCTTCCAGAAGTGTGAATTTCAAGGCCCCTGGATCAGGGGTTCTTATGGGGGGGGGGGGGTCTTCTTATATACTGAAAACGAATTAATGCTTTGTAATCTGCTCCTTGGTAGCCTATTAATCAAACAATTATGATAAGCAAGGGTGCTTTTTCCAAAATTGTGAAATTTTTGGACCAAGGGTCAGGGGTTCAAGTGTGGTAGAGGCAATACTGATTATTGCTGAATATTACTGATCAGCGGAAATGCATTTTTGTTCCCCTTCTCTGCCTATGGGTATTCAGTTACCAAAATAAGCAATTGCTAAATGTATAGTTATGATAGGCAATTCTGCCTCTTTCAAAATTGTGAATGTCATGCATATGACGTCTGGTTTAAAACGTAAACCGAATTCAATCATTAGAATGTTGTTGCATAATGCCCAGGTGACCTATAAGGCCCATGGACCTCTTGTTTCAAAATCCAGTTTGAAGAGATGGGCAAAAAAAAAAACAAGATTTTAATCGTTTAAAAGAATTGGTTGTTTAGAGCAAAATGGAAATATAAAATTATCAAAAGTCACATTTTTAATGTAACTGGCTGCCATTTTGAGGAAGTGACATCTGTAGATGGTGCCCTTCTCCCATACATACGTATAGTCGTGATATTTTAACGGGGATTGGCTCTGAGAAAATCGATTTTGCTATCACATATACTCGTACATGTAGTAGGATTTTCTTTTTTGCAAATTGTGTCTCATTTTGGATTTAATGGGAGAAATCCTCATCTTCAATCATGTTTTCATAAGATCTAGGTCAATTTGCAAATTTTCCCCTCCTAGCTGCTAATTTATGAAATAAATCGAAAGTATTCATATCAAGGCCATTGTCAGGTTTTTGTTAGGGGGTAGGGTACCAAGAAGGTCTGCCAGAGATATATACTCTCCTCCGTGAAAAAGAAATTTTGCTTCAGATTGGTAATATTTTGGTATGTTTTGTTAAGTTTCAAATAGAACTACTTCAGGTAAGTAATTTAATTGCAATACGGGCCCATTTGCGAGATGTTGTATAATCTTAATGGTTGCTAGTCTTAACTTTATTACTTTACATTTTAGATGAATCAATCAAATGTATTTAGAGTCTAATGAAAGCAAATGTAAAATTCGTTTAAATATTTTTTTCCAAAAAGGTTTATTTTTCTCTTTATATGGTGTATTTTTTAATATCTTAAATAGTTCATGCTTGTTTTTATTTAATAGAATGTCCACATGGATACTTCGGAGTGCACTGTAACATTTCTTGTGCATATCCAACATATGGTTCACGATGCAAACACAATTGTACATGTAAAGAAGAAGATTGTGATAATGCACTGGGATGTTCTCTGACAAGTAGGTTTCTTGCTCAAAACTACAATATTTGGTTCAAATTATCCGGCAGAACACGACATTAAAGTGACAATATGGCGCATCTCTTCAAAAACAGACTTGTTAAAATTTTCCTATAGGATTTGGAACTTTTTTTTCATTCTCATAAATTTATATACTTTAAGAAAATTACAAGTTTCATAAATAAATAATTCTGATTGTTTCATTAAAATAAATAATTATTTACGGTACATAAATATATACATCGCAACGTGTTCGAGGTTCCACATTCCATGCTATACAGTATGAGTATAGTTTTCATAAACAAAATAGCATGGTAAGAGAGGGAAGTCCGGTAGGCCTGCAACACAGAAAAAGTCGACTAAAACGAAAAACGAAACCAAAAATAGGGCTTGAAATTAAAAAAGAAACTTTCCTGACAAAAATTAAGTTGGGAAATTAACGTGGGGCTCGCAAAGGTTCTACCCTACAGGTTTGTTGATACATGCTTTCATTTCTCGTATCTCCATAGATTTCAAAGAAAAAAAAATATCAGTGTAAACTCAACATAAAAATGCACTAATGACATATAAAAATTATTGTCATTTGAAGTGCAAATAGTTTTGGAAATGCAGAAAGATATTTTGTTTGACATTTTGCCACGATGACGTATGATTTGGTGGATTTTCCTTTCCTGCACCCCAATACACAAAGTCAACATTTGTACGTAATCGTGTTAAATTCGTCTGAATGCAGACTAAAATGTTAACTATAATTAATTTAATGGAGAGACTCAGAGTTATGATATTTTGATTCTGAGAATTGCTTTTACCTAATATTCCATTATAATTGTTAACCCTACATTTTATGCACGTGCTATTTTAGAAATCACGTGGTACAAGTAAAAAGATCTAAGTTGTACGACCCTTGATTTTCCGGTAGATTCTAATTACGTTATCTTTGTATGAGGAGAGAATATTTATTTTTCTCAAAATGCTTACTTCAACTTTTTACCTTATTCCTTATTGATATATTGGGTAAATTTGAATGAAAAAGCACACGATTTGCAGCCGTATTTGCCTGACGTCACGGCGTCAGGCACTACTAAGGATCAATATTTCCTGGGTTCGAAGCTAAGAGGTCACAGTTAGCCAGCAAAATTTTGTGCATGCTGATTATCATCGGATTTTGCTACGTGCATTTCTGCAACAACAGTTATCTATTCTGTTAGCAGAAAAATAAACATATTGCTGATACAATACATTGATGTATTTATTTCCTTTAGCTTTTTGCTAACATCTATTAATTTCATGCGAGTTCCTATACGCACATGTCTGTTTGACCTTTTTTCTGCGTTTCTATACTACTGGATTAGTCCATTTGTCTTCTAGGTAAGGGGTGACACTATTAATTATTTCGCGCCATAGTGGACATTTGCGGAATAGCGTACAGTGGACAACAGACTTCAGACTTCGGACTTTAAATAAGGGGAGCATCTCAAGGTGTAGAATTTATACATCACATTTACGTTTGAATTAATAATACAATAAAGCGCATTGAAGTGGTAAAATTTTCCGTTTGGATGAAAAGTTCTGAGTCATGTTTTGAACGTCAATTATAACATACTGACACGCCCATATTTTTAGAAATGAGAAAGAAATATTCGTCGTAGTTTTAGGACACCCCATTCTTCGCGACAAGCATCATAAGGTACACTGAAATGGAGCTTTAAAAAATTTAAAAGAGAGAGTTAGATACTCCCCGCTTATGTAAAACACATATTGCAACAAATATGTACATATTTTTCAACTTATCATGTCTACTGAAGTTACCACAACACATGTTTCGGTCGAACACGTGTTTACTCGGTGTTTATTTAGATCCACAATTTGACTGGCTATTATATTTATGGAAAACCTGTTCTACAGGTATTTGAAGAAACAACTGGACCGTTTTATCCATTTCTAAAGAAATGGGCGTGTCATAAGATGACAATAAACACTCTAAAGATAGCTCAAAACGTTCCATTCGAACGGAAAATTTTACCACTTCAATGCGCTTCATTGTACAATAGCATGTGATATAATTATCAATAAACAATATACTTCTGCGACATTTATAAATAGGAAATAAGGAACACTTGGACTACATTATGTTTCAGTCAGTCTCTTTGCAATCGGAACTCGCATCGAAAAATTTAATGTGTTTTCATTTTCTCTCTTTACTACATCTTTATTTAATTATTCTTTATACGAATTTTATTATTGAATATTTGACTTTCAAGATTTTTCAGTTTTAAAAATTGTTTTCTATATGCCTGTTTTAACACCCACCCCCACCCCCTTCCGAAAAAAAGAGAGAAAAGGATGTGCCCTTATGTACAAATGTTTATCGAATTTGAAATAAATAAAGAGTGATGTACATTTGACTTAGCTGGAAACATGATGCAGATTCCTGATCTACTCAGCTTTCTCAGATTTATACCAATTTCAATTACCTGGTTCAATCCATTTCAAAAAGCAAGGCTGATATTCAGACTTAGTATCATAACTCAAACTCTAATTTGGCTTAAGTAAATAAAATTAGGGTACAATACATTAATTAAAACGCCAGTTGATCCCACCCTCTCACAGGCACACACCTTTTGGTACAGTACTTGTATAGGCAGTGAAACTATCTTAATATGCAAATGTATCTAAAAGATGGAAATTAACATACACACACCCTTTCCTAAATACACTCCCCTCCCTGAGAATGGAATTTTCAATATTTTCCTTTTTGGGATTGTCAAAAAAAAAAAAAAAATTCAGGGAAGTTGTACACCCCCCCCCCCCCCCCAAAAAAAAAAAATTTCAAAATCGATAGTGTCTCTTCAGTACATATTATATATATCTAACGACTATATGTTAACCATATTTAATTCGCAAAGACTTTATTTCGCGATTAAACAGCGGTTAACTAGTACGCGACGATCAATTTTCGCGATCAAGCCGATTTTGGATCTGTTATTAATTAACACATAGACTTAAGGGACCGGTTCAAGGCGAGGGATATTTGCGATGACAAGGTTCTCATGAACTTCGCGAAAACTTCTCGCAAGCGAATAAAAGTTGTTTACAGTAACTGGAAACATTAAGCTTTTAGTACTTTTAACATTTCTTTTATTCAGTAATCAACAAAAATGTAAAAGCAAACAAACAAACAAACAAAAAAAAAAACAGCTTTTGCTAAATAACACTTGGTTTCTATAATTGTCCACTGTATTTAAAATAAGCTAACTTAGTACAAGTTTTATACAGTAAAATGTTAAAGTTTTGACAAAATTCATGCTTTCTACTCAGTTCATTTTCCAACGACAAATGGCCCAGCAAATGGGAATTGAAAAGTTTAATGCAAGTAATATATTACCCAAATTTGTGCATGCAGGGCGTAAAACATCCCTTATTTGATAAGGTTTATTTACAGTGTACATTTTGTATCACATTGATCGGAAGTTGTACCTTCAGTTTGCAAATTAGAAACAAATTGAATCTGAAGTTATAATTTAGCCTCTGTACAATTCTTTTTCTGAGATTGTAGTTGTTTGTAGTTCATATTTGATACTATTCAATTTATTTGCATACAAAAAAAATGTTATTTCGAGACAGTTTAATGTTCACGAATAAATTTTTTGCAAACTTTCGAATTAAACCAATCAAAATACAAATTTCAAAATTCTTCGACTTAATTTTTTCATAGCTATCAGAGGCTTATACATTTTTAGATGATTTGTTATAAATTTATATTTTTCAAGTTTTTAAACCGCTCCCTTAGAAAAGTCTGCCTTTAAATGTCTGAAGTCCGAAGTCCGCTGTTCGCTGTACGCTATTTCGCAAATGTCCAGTGTCACGTGTAAGTTTTTACGCCCTTTTCCTGGACTATTCTATTGAATGTAAATGGAAACTGCATGAATTATGTAAAGTCTGTTCTTTTCTGTCTGAATCTTGGTCGAGCTTTGGGAAAAAAAACAAATCGGTGATATTTGTGAAGTGAGTTAGAAGTTACATTATCTAAAGTAATAAAACATCTGACCCCCGCCCCCCTCCAGGGGTTTCCTCCACAGAGAATAGACTTATGAAAGTGTCCTCTCGCACATTTCAGGATTGAGAAAACATGAATTGACAAATATTTTTATGTTAACCCCTCATCCCTTGGAAAAACTTCCTGAATTCGCACCATTCATATATCGCCGTCAAGTTTGTTGGGTCATTTAAGGCTTTAAATTTTTACCCACGTTTCCGACAATGCTTCGGCATACACAAGAAACTATTAAAATATTCTGCATGTCAGTCATAATCGTTACGATTCTCAATTTCTTGCAGTTATATTTTCAGCTATCTTCCTCATAGCCTATGTTGTATGCAGTTGAATCTAATTCATATGACCTTTACATGTAGCCATGCTTTCAAGCATTAATCAATTACTTCTTATGAAGCCATGCTTTTCAGCATAATCAAGTGTTTTCCCTTAATTACGTCATCCTCTAAAACCATTTTTAGACTCACGGAGTGAGGTGTTCATTTTTACGTCGAGGGTTTGAATCTAAAATTCTACAGCGGGTCATGATCATGATTTCATTTTTTGTTTGAGATACAAACAATATATACATTTCATATACTGAAAGGAAAAAGAAACGCATAATAGCATTATAGCGAAAAATATTCAACTATGTGGCCGAAAATTATGAAAATTGGTCAAATGTGTAATTTGGCTACTGTGCACTAAAATCGCTGGTCAAAATTACTCAACCATGAAATGTATGGCGTCACGTATGGGAAGTGATTAAAAGCCAAATACACGTGCATGTTGATGATGACATTTTTGTGATCCCATTTTGTAGTGCCAATCGATGCATTAGAGTTACAGACATCGTTTTCCGATATTTGCAGTCAGTATAAATTTCTTGCAATCATGGTATGGCTGACAGAAGTTACATAGGGTCTAGTAATTGAGTTCCATAAGTGAATAAAAAGGCAACAACATGTTGCTGTGAAGATTGTTTTTAAATTTTCAACCAAAAATTTTTTTCGGTTGTCAGAGAGTAATT